ACAGAATGCTGTCATGTGTACGTTAAACACATCCGCCGAAGGATTGACAGGGCAGCTGCCAAACTGCTTGCGCTTTGCAGTACGTCATACAGCTCATGCCATTGGGATAAAGAGTGTCACATGGCAGGGCATATGTCACTGCAACCTTCCTATCCAAACATGGGCAGTTTGGCACACTGATACAGTGCACTCTTGGATCAGAGACAGGTAGGAACTACACAGCAGAAAATGAGAAAGGCATGTAGCAGCAGACATGTTCAGGATAATAAAACAGAGATGGCTCATTAGTGCCAACAATCCCTCAGTCAACACACGCAAAAGGTTTCAGCAAGAGGATTTTAACAGAACTGTAAATGTAAAATCTACTCAGTACCACTTGACAGGCTACATGGAACTTATTCAATGCCTTCATGTTCAGTTTTTCCAGCAATGCATAATTATTCCCAGTAGACAGTTCTACAGTTCCTACACCCCACCAAAGTGGAAGGGGCTGTGATGCATGCAGAAAGCCCCAGGTTCAACCCCTGGCATCCTCAGATAGGGCTGGGAAAGGTTCCTGCTGGAAATTCTGCCACTTAGTGCAAGTGGGACTGTGCTAGATGAATCAACGCTCTGACTGAGCACAACCCAGTCTCCTGGACATGCACATGGTAAGCATGTCATGAGTGGAACCGGGGGTCAGACTAGATGGCCCAGGAGACCCCTTCTTACTCACTGTTTCTATGTTTCTATATACTGAAAGCTGAACCTGTGTTCAAGGAATGGCTTAGTACAAAAAGTTGGCTTTGCAATCTCAGCAAAATAACATTTCTACTAAAAAGCCAATGCCTAAGGAATCCTTGCTGAAGAACTTGCCAGGTCAATCACTTTACCTAAAGGATGTTTTTGCTGTAGTGAACACAGTAAAGGGAAAAGGTACGTCGGCAGACAAGCCATGGAATACGCATCACAGAACTGAGGGAACACGAGTTCATATATTATGGTGCTCTGTCCGGTAAATGCACCTGCTCTTAGTGTGAATCAGGCCACCCTTTGCAATGCTTATGGACCTGGAAGAAATTTATATGAAATCTTCTACCTCTTTCTCAAGGATAGTCTCAACCCTGTGCCAAGTCAGGAGTACTTATACCAAAAACCATCCCTGATTTCTTTTGAAGGTCTCAATCCAATCCTTCCAAGGAAAGGAGATTGCACAGTGATCCCAAGCATCCTGCTCTTTTGTTGTACAGCTCTAGCCTTCAGGGCACGCTCTCCAGAAAGGGTGAACAATTGCTATTCTTCCTGTTTTGGACTGCCTTGTATATATTTAAATCCCATGAATATATAAGACTACCACACTTTCCTCATGGAAATTGACTTTTCAGCCTTTTATCATCATACCAGCATTCCTCAGAATAATTTTCCATTTTTAAATTTTCTTCAGACACTGAATACAGAATGTTAGACTTTCTTCTGTGCAGCACAGAATGCTGCAATTGCTTTCTGAATACCAGAAATTACACTCCTATTGACATCCAAAGCTGCATTAAAGCATTGATTTTTGGCTCACATTTGATAATTTCATATCAGCCCATTACTCCCTTTTCCATACAACTTGCTCAGACAATTTATCCAAGGTTAATTCTTCTAGATCCCAGTTTCTAAGCACACTTGCAAGGATGTCTCACAAACTTAAGTTATAACACACTCTGGAGTCCCCGAAGTACATTCTATTGTGGGGTGGCCAAACCAAGGCTTGAGAACTGCATGGAGCTCTTTGAGTTTATTTTGCAACTCACAGAGGGCTTGGAGCCTCCCTGTTCCACCCCCCTGCCCCAGTCCAGATCTCAGAGATGGCACAGGCATGATTGCGCTAAGCATTCCTGAGGCCGCTGTCCCAGCCGCTCTCTTCTTGAGGCTCAGGAAGAGAACAGGTTGAGCTGCTGGCCTCATGAGAACTCACCTCAGCATGCCCTGCCCACATCTGCTGAGAACACAAAGGCACTTTGGCAGTTCTACCTCTGCTCCAGGCAGCAAAGCTGGTGATGTTATTGGAGGTGGTGGCAGTGGTTATTCTGGTGGTGACAGCATTTCCTTGGCATCTTCAGTGGTGCTTTATTTGTTTATTTGTTATTTTCATTTTTTTACATTTAGAATTTGCCAGTCAGCTCAAATGAACTCCCTACGAGGCATACAACAATAAAATCACAGCCAACAGTTTAACTACCATTAAAAATAATCAATTAATAACAATAATAGCATAGACAGACCAGGTGAGAAGGACAACCAAATAAACATTAATAAAATTAAGTCATCTAAAACACATTATTAAAATCAATTCTTGAAATTATTAAAATGAGTGGAGGAGATATATTTTCCCCTGGCATCAAAATGAGGCAAAGTTGGAGCCAAGAGAACTTCTCTGAGAAGCCTGTTCCGCAAGTGGGGGGCAGCCACTGGAAAGGCCCTTCTTCTATTTACCACCCCTCTGGCACATTTAGAAAAGCCTCTTGACCAGATCTTAGTGGTCAGGTAGGCATATATGGGCAAAGGTGGTCCTTCAGGGAGCCAGGTCCTAAGCCATTTAGGGCTTTATATGCTAAAACAAGCACTTTAAATTGGGTTGCCTCGTGGCCATACCAGCAGTGAAGAAGTGAAAGATAGAACAAGTGGTGCATGGGAGGCTGTTACTTTTGGCCTTCCTTCCCTTCGCATCCAATTACCCCACATTTACTCTTGAAGGCCTGAAAGAAGAGCTCGTGACTGCCTGGATCTTTTCTAAGCAAGAAGAGAGCAGGTCAGCTGGCAGCCTCATGAGAGCTCACCCCAGCACATCCCATGCTGCTCCTGCTGACTTTAAAAAGTCAACTTCGAAAGAGGTATCTAGACCCCTTCCTAAATGTGGAAAGAGTGGGGACCAGTCGCAGCTGCAAAGAGAATTTGTGTTGTATAAGTGACAGCCCCTGAAGACAACTATCCCATTGCTGCTTGTCCCTTCTGCAGCTCCCTCAAAGGTCCCTGAGAGGCCACGGTCTTCAAAGTAGAGTTTTAACAAAGAATTCTCAGCCCTTCTCACTAAACTATAATTGCCAAGATTCTGTCTGTGACAACAGTAAAAAAAAAAAATTCTTTTAAACCCTGCTATTTTTGATTAATACAACATTTACTTTGAATGGTTCTTGTTTCTAAAAGTCCATTTCTTTGGGAAGAGAATCTCTGAGTTAGTGTTCTAACTGTCTATGTGTCTAATAAGGCACATTAAAAATATAATTCACTGATAAGGAGGAACACACTTTTGTAAAGTCATAATACATATTAAATATTTGTTCGTGTATTTCAGCTCTCAAATATCTGACATTGACCACTGTGGCTCTTCCATAGAGCAAGTCTGGCTGTGCCTGTTCTAGTGGTCGCATTTCCTCCATTTTTATGGCCAGCGGCTTTATTGAAAAAGGGGAAATTGCGATGATTTAGAAAGGTTTTTTCTTTATTATTTTAGTACTATCTGTGCCAAAGATTTTTTTTCCACAAAAAGAGACATTTTGAGTATCTTTCAACTTGATTGCTGCAACCAAATGTGATGAAATAGTCATATAAAACCTTGCATCTTTTGACAGAGGACAAAAACTTATATTTTGAGAACAGGGTCTTTCCCGCCCTTATTTTTGACTTGCCTGAGAAAAGTCCCAATGCAATGAGCATTTTGGAATATCAAACAAAAAAGATCAAAATTGTCAACAGCAAGATAGTTGTCTCTCAAACAGAGCAAGCAGAGGTGACAACCAACAGAAGTTAATCAAGGTCATAATTTCCAGTATTTTCCACAATAAGATGCACTACCCTGTTTAAAAAGCTAGACCCAAAATTTCTACTGAATTTCTTGACATCAAGATGAAACATTAGATTTGTCCCTCTTCTGGAATAGAAGGGTCTGATAAATTTAGAAGTCCTCCTCTTGAAATAAGTCGGAGGTTACTGAAACTGGTACACATGCTGGTTCTTGCATTTGTTTTCATAACCACAGAGTGGGCAGGTTAAAGGGAAGCAGCTCTTCTCCTACACGTCATGACTAATCTGAACAACTGCAGCATGGTGACAGCAGTAGCTTAACGACTAGATGAGCAAAGTGGAGAAAAGGAGTAGGCAGTGACATTCTAAAGAAAAACAGCTTATCGCCACTAAATATTTGGTACAATATCTCATCTCTGGCTAAGTGTCTTCAGATTGCATTCTTCATGATTCAGGATTACTAAATTGTAGGGATGTGCTACTGTTCACATTAGCAAGGCGGTAAAGGGCCAGTGTCCCAAACCCCACCAGTAAGTAAACTGGGGTTCACTTACTCAAAGGAAGCAAGTGTGCAACAATACAGGAAAGCAATGTAAGGCATCTAATTACAGGCTTGGAAGGATCAGCCTGATGTGTATGCACTACTCTATGCAACACACTCAGCAGCAATGATGGTTTGAAATGGCACTACTCAGACAGCAAGCTTCACTCTTGAAAAGAAGCAAGGAAAGTGGGAAAGGGCATCCCAAGCAAGAAGGTGGTATCAGCCCCCAGTTAGGCTATGTGTGGACAAAACAGACTTGGGGACAAAGACGGCCTGTGATCACTGCTTTCTAGCAATACAAAACAAAATGACTGATGGTAAACTGTCTTCCACCTTGAGTTTATTCTCTCTCCACTTCATTTACTGTCCCAAACCTGAAAGCCAAAGACTTGCCAAGGCCATCCAGCATGACATGACATGTAAGATCTCCCACGTCAAATATCAATATGCTATCTTTGGGCCCACACTGGCAATTCCAGTTATCTTTAGGATCATTCAGTGTAAAACAAACAAACAAGCGCACGCGCGCGCGCACACACACACACACACACACACAACAAGCTCTTGCATTACAATCTGCTGAGTTTATAGAATAAAAATCATACTATTTAAATAAAAATGCTGGAACGAGCTGTCATTTTAGAAAGAGATATACAAAGGCAAATTCATACATATACACACAACTTACTAATTGCTCCTGTAAAAGTTGGCTGTGTAAGATCTTTTGGCACCTTCCTGTAGATGTCAAACCTGAAAAGCATACCAAAGAAAAACCACAAATGTTACAAAATAGGTAGAGCATTTCATCATTCAAAATCCAACAGAGCTGAATGATGCTGAAATTTTTTCCATTAAGGTTTCCAACATCATTTTTCATTCTACATTGCACTGCAAAAAACATGTTACATTATGTAAGTGTACTAGTTTTTTATGATTACTCTTAGCTAAAAGCCAGTCAAGTTGGATGGGTGGGCTAGAGTGGAGAAAGGGGGAGATGGAGCGTTCTAGTTCTTTTTCCTGCTCCTCTAGCCTGACTCACTGAACAAAAAAGCAGGCCTCTTAACAGTGTTCAAGATTGAACTGCATTCACTTTGTTTATGCAACTCAATAGGAGGGACCAAGAAAACTCAATGTCAGCCCCACTTCCTCCACAGAAGCTTGCACTGAGTCCCATTTTTTGCACACAGTTCTCATATTCAGTCCAAGAAGTGAGAAACTAGGTTCTAGGCTGTATTACTTCGAAGTGCAGGTGGGGCACTACGTGACTGAATGCTCCTCTGTGCCAGAAAAACACAGAGACAGACAGACATGCCAGGAAGCCAGTTTCCCTGATAAACTAGCTTTGCATGTGCAGATTTGGTAAGGAGGAGTATTCGGACATACACCCCCACCTGTAGTCTCAAGTGGAACAGCCATTAACAGGTTGAGCTGTTTCATCTGCCATTTGTGAGAACAAGAGACTAATTTGACCAGAGTAACAGGAAGCATAACGGAGAATGCTGAGAAGTGGCTAGAATATTTAGAGATTTTTAGTTATATAGCATTATTAGCATATTTAGTATCTTGAAGAGTAGCATGCAAGAACAAAACAAAAAGGGCCCCTACCCTGATGATTTTGTAATCAAACTTAGCCTGGGCAAGAAGAGGCAGGAAAGCACAGAAGAAAACTGTAGACAAACACAGGCTCATGTACTTAGCCTTCATTTCAGTTGGGGTTGACAATTAAGAGGCTTTAAAGATTTTAAGGTGGTGCCTCATATCAGTATTCTGGAAGGGTGTTTCAGGCATAAGGGCATTGTTGTTAAAGAGTCCCTCAGGGTGGTGGAGTTTCTGGAGGAAATATCTCATAGAATCATAGAATAGTGGAGTTGGAAGGAGCCATGAAGGCCATCGGGTCCAACCCCCTGCTGTTGCACGGCAGCGCGTTACACCATCCCACTCAGATGGCTGTCCAGTTTCTTTCTGAATGTCTCTAGTGTGGGAGAGCCCACCACCTCTCCAGACATCTGCTTTTCTACATCCCCTCTCTGTACCATGATGCCTCGTTTTCCGCAGGCCCCTGCACTGCAGCAAGTTTCTTGCTCAAAGGTCTATTGTACACAGAGTTGCACCTACAGATAGTGGCCTTAAAAAACAATGATCACAACAGAGAGGCAATTCTTTGATTTTCTAGGGTCAGGCTGTCAGTTTAAGTGACTATACCAGCCAGCCTTCTAGAAGCTGATGCTCTCCAAATGGAACTAGAACTTCCATCACTGCCTAGCCGGCATGACTAACCGGAGGGCACAAGGCTGGGATAGGCTGCAGTAGACTGAGCCCACTGTCCATCAGATAGGAATTCCACACAACACACTTTCCTCATGCTTTCTTTAATTACAAAAATGACAAAGTGAAGTATATTGAAGCTATGAAAGAAGCGAGATTCAGAGCTTTTTCCAAGTCAGGCAATGGCGTTTTCTAAATTTAGCACCATTACCAATCACATTTCTCAAGCCAGTGCTACAGTCAGCCCTCACCAGTCACAAGAATTACATCCAGCTGCCCAGGCTGAGCCTATTTCCCTTTCCCAAACAGGGAAATAAGAGAGCCTTTGATGCACCCCACAGAATGCAGTCCTCTTCTAAAAGTGGTGTGAGGGCCCCTTCCTCCCAGCGACACAGCTGCAAGGGAAAAAAGCTCCACGTTCAACCTCTTCAGAGTGAAGCTCTAAGTAACGCCCTATCAAGCGGTTCATGAAGATGTACCAAAGGTTGTCTGCCTTCCAGCTGTAGTGCTCAGAGTCTGGAAAGAAAACAGTCCCAAGTGAATCTTCCAGAACACAGAGAACAGCTGCAAGCATATCATTACCAAGTGCAGCTTATTCTAGCTTCCCCTGCTCCCGTTTTACAGAATATGAGCAAATAAAGGTGGAAATGGAGAAAGTGGGTCACCATACAAAGACAGAGGGGAGATACTCTTGAGGTGAGCTAAGATGTAACTATTTCCATACCACAAACAGAAGTGTGTATGTTCAAAATTGTAGAATTACCCATTTCCACACATGAGAGGTGATGGTGACAGCTCACCCACAGGCCCTGGAATGGGCTGGCTCACCGATGATCTCCCTAACTGAAAATACAGGGAGGCTCCAAATCCCTCCAGACCCAGCACCTCATACACAAGTGGCTGTGGTAGCCAAAGGTGCTTTTCACCAACTGAACAGACAGAATAAATCCTTCCACGATGTCCATTTTTTTTTACCGCTGCAATGTGCTCTATATGGGACAGATGCTTCAGCTATGGAGAAATATATATGCCCACCCCCTTACAAATATCAAGGGCACAGACAGCATATTTGCCCTTTGTTATATCATCTGCACTGGCTACCATGTTTCAAAACATAGTTCAAGGTACTCACTTTAATCTTCAAAGCCCTTTACTGCCCAAGATGGAGTCTGATAAAGAAATTCACATGGACTCACCCTCTGTCAGATCCCATGCTGATCACATTAATCAAATTAGACTCTTCTATCAATAAGGGAACCCCTTCATGGATCACTGCTTTGCCGTGGCGAAGGGGCTTGTGTAGCACAATGAAGCTATGAGCTATGCTGTGCAGGGGTACCCAAGACAGACAAATCATAGCAGAGAGCTCTGACAAAAGATGATCCACTGGAGAAGGAAATGGCAACCCACTCTGGTATCCTAGCCATGAAAACCCCATGGACAGTATCCAAAGGCTAAAAGATATGACACTGGAAGATGAGCCTCTCAGGTCAGATGTGAAAGAGTGAAGGGCTAGTGCTTGTAGCACCAGAAAGAATGAAGTGACAGGGTCAAAGACAAAAGGACACTCAGTTGTGGATGTATCTGGTGGTGAAAGGAGAGATGCTATAAAGAACAATACTGCATAGGAACCTGGAATGTAAGATCTATGAATCAAGGTAAGCTGGACATCGTCAAACATGAGATGACAAGACTGAACATCGACATCTTAGGAATCAGTGAACTAAAATGGACAGGAATGGGTGAATTTAATTCGGATGACCATCAGGTATACTACCGTGGGCAAGAATCCCTCAGAAGAAATGGAGTAGCCATCATAGTCAATAAAAGATTAGGAAAAGTAGCACTGGGATACAGCCTCCAAAATGACAGAATGACCTCAGTTCTATTTCAAGGCAAACCATTCAACATCACAATAGTCCAAGTCTATGCCCCAACCACTGATGCTGAAGAGGCTGAAGCTGACTAGTTCTATGAAGACCTACAACACCTTCTAGAAATAACACCAAAAAATGATGTCCGTATCATCATGGGGGATTGGAATGCTAACGTAGGAAGTCAAAAGATAACTGGAATAACAGGTGAGTTTGGCCTTGGAGTACAAAATAAAGCTGGACATAGGCTAACAGAGTTTTGACAAGAGAACACACTGGTCATAGCAAATACTCTTTTCCAGCAACCTAAGAGGCGACTCTACACATGGACAACACCAGGTGGTCAAATCAAAACAAATCAGACTATGTGCTCTGCAGCCAAAGATGGAGAAGCTCTATATAGTCAATAAAAACAAGACCTGGAGCTGACTGTGGCTCAGATTATGAGCTTCTTGATGCAAAATTCAGGCTTAAATTGAAGAAAATAGGGAAAACCACTAGGCTCCTCAGGTATGACCTCAATCATATTCCTGATGAATATGCAGTGGAGGTGACAAATAGATTTAAGGAATTAGATCTGGTAGACAGAGTGCCTGAAGAACTATGGACGGAGGTTTGCAACACTGTACAAGAGGTAGCAACTAAAACCACCCCAAAGAAAAAGAATGCAAGAAAGCAAAATGGCTGTCTAAGGAGGCTTTACAAATAGCTGAGAAAAGAAGGGAAGTGAAAGGCAAGGAAGAAAGGGAAAGATACATCCAACTGAATGCAGAATTCAAGAGAATAGCTAGAAGAGATAAGAAGGCCTTCTTAAATGAAGTGCAAAGAAACAGAGGAAAACAATAAAATGGGAAGGACTAGAGATCCCTTCAAGAAAATGGGAGATATCAAGGGAACATTTCATGCAAAGATGGGCATGATAAAGGACAAAAATGGCAGGGACCTAACAGATGCAGAAGAGATTAAGAAGAGGTGGCAGGAGTACAGAGAAGAATTGTACAAGAAAGATCTTAATGTCCCTGGTAACCATGATGGTGTGGTCGCTGACCTTGAGCCAGACATTCTGGAATGTGAAGTCAAATGGGTCTTAGGAAGTCTTAGCAGCATCAAAACTAGTGGAGGAGACAGTATTCCAGCTGAGCTATTCAAAATCCTAAAAGACAAAGCAGTTAAAGTGCTATACTCAATATGCCAGCAAATTTGGAAAACTCAATAGGATTGGAAAAGGTCAGTTTACATACCAACGCCAAAGAAGGGCAATGCCAAAGAATGTTCAAACCACCAAACAATTGTACTCATTTCACACGCTAGCAAAGTTATGCTCAAAATTCTACAAACTAGGCTTCAGCAGTATGTGGACCGAGAACTACCAGAATTGCAGGCAGGGTTTTGAAGAAGCAGAGGAACTAGAGATCAAATTGCCAACATATGCTGGATCACGGAGAAAGCTACACTTTGATTATATGGATCACAAGAAATTGCGGCATGTCCTTAAAGAGATGGGAGTACCACACTATCTTATTTGTCTCTTGAGAACACTGTATGTAAGTCAAGAAGCAACAGTGAAAACTGGACATAGAATTCCTGATTGGTTCAATATTGGGAAAGGAG